TTACAACTATGTTTAACACCTTAAGGGAATATAAGCTGTATGTTAATTTCCAAAAGTGTTTCTTTTGCATGGACTCTGTTATCTTTTTGGGATTTGTTGTTGGATCACTGGAAATTCGTGTGGATGGGGAGAAAGTTAAGGCTATTCATGAATGGCCAAAGCCTAAGAGTGCAAGTGAAGTGAAAAGCTTCTGCAACTTAGCAAGCTTTTATAAGAGATTTGTTAGGGATTTCTCTAGCATTGCTGCCCCTCTTAATGAACTTGTTAAGAAGAATGTGACCTTCATATGGAGTGAGACACAAGAAAGAGCTTTCCAAACCCTAAAGGATAAATTGACTAATGCCCATTTACTTGTTTTGCCTAATTTCTCTAAAGCATTTGAAATTTAATGTAATGCTTCTGGTATTGGTATATGTGCTGTTTTAATGCAGGATTCTAAGCCCATAGCTTACTCCAATGAAAAGCTTCATAGTGCAGCTTTAAATTATTCTACCTATGACAAAGAGCTCTCTGCTCTAAAGAGTGCCTTAGAAATGTGGCAGCACTATTTGTGGCCTAAGGAATTCATCATTCATTTTGATCATGAAAGTTTAAATTTTTTCAAGTCTGAAGATAAGTTGAACAAGAGACATGCTCGCTGGGTGGAATTTATTGAGACCTTTCCTTATGTGATTAAGCATAAGCAAGGCAAAGAAAATGTCATTGCTGATGCCTTATCTTGAAGGTATATATTACTTTCCTATTTGCATGCTCAATTACTTGGCTTTGAGATTCTAAAAAATCTTTATAAAATTGATTCTGATTTTGAAAATATTTAAAAATCTTGTGAAAATCATGGATCTGGTGATTTCTTTATATTTGATGGATTTTTTTTAAGAAGAACAAACTATACATTCCTATTTGTTCTATGCGTGAGTTACTTACTAAGGAAGTACATGGTGGTAGTTTAATGGGACACTTTGGTGTAGAGAAAACTTTGGCTATTTTATCTGATTATTTCTTTTGGCCTCACATGTGGAAAGATGTCATATCTGTTTACGACAAATGCATTAAATGTAGATAGACAAAATCTAAGGTTTAACCTCATGGAGTTTACTCTCCTTTACTCATCATCTCTCACCCTTAGGAACATATCTCCATGGATTTTGTAATTGAATTGCCTAAATCTTCCACAGACAAAGATTCCATATTTATTATTATTGATAGATTCTCTAAGATGGCACACTTTATTGCTTGTGCTAAGACTACTGATGCTGTTAACATTACTAACTTATTCTTTAAAGAGATTGTTTTTTTGCATGGTTTACCTAAGACTATTGTGAATGATAGGAATGTGAAGTTTCTTAGTCACTTCTGGCGTATCTTATAGCATAAATTAAGGACTAAGTTACTTTTTTCTACTACTATCTATCCATAAATTAATGGTCAAACTGAGGTAGTTAACAAAACTATGACTACACTGCTAAGAGTAATAATTCAGAAGAATTTGAAGAATTGGGTGAATTATTTACCTCATATTGAATTTGCTTACAATAGGACTGTTCATTCTTCTACTTCTTATTCTCCATTTAAAATTGTTTATGGTTTCAATCCATTATCTCCTATTGATATTTTACCTTTTCCTTTTTCTGCGCATGCTAACACTGATGGCAAGAAAAAAGCTGAGTTTGTGTAGGACTTACATGCTAAGGTTAAAGCAAACATAGAGTAAAAGAATGAGCAATACGCCAAGCAAGCTAATCAAGGTAGGAGACATGTGATCTTTGAGCCCAGAGATTGGATTTGGTTACATTTAAGGAAAGAGAGATTTCCTAATCAAAGGAAGTCCAAACTTCAAGCTTGAGGAGATAGACCTTTCTAAGTTTTGGAAAGATTTAATGATAATGCTTACAAGATTGATTTGCCTAGATCTTATGGCAATGTTAGTGCCACATTTAATGTTTTTGATCTATCTTTATATGATTCTGCAGATTCAAGGACGACTTTCCAAATGGGAGGGAATGATAGACCCCATAGCATGGATGACATGGCATTAATGGCAACGAAGCTTGAGCATGGTAATATAGAAGGAGCCCAAGACAAGGAGCAAGGAGCCCAATACTTTCAATCCAACGTGCCTAAAGACCCATTACAACATATTGAAGGTCTAATGACAAGAGCCCGAACTAAAGCCATGAAGCAAGCCTTGTTTAGTCTTATGCAAGAAGTCTAAGAGCTTGGAGAGCATTGGGGCACTCCTCTCAAGCCTAAAGGAGAACATCTATATGTGTATAATGTGCTTAAGATCTAAATTTATGAAAAGTCAAGCCCAAAAGATGCAAACCTTAGCCCAATACAAGAAAGAGTACAAGTTGAGTCTCTTGTAAGTAAGGAGGCAAGAAACCCTAGTGAAGAAGTCAAGGGTGGTGTGATTTTAAATCCTTTATAATCCCTTAATTTTCTCCTAAATTATTTTCTATTTTAATGGTATTTTGATTTGACTCCCTTTCTAAAGGAGCAAGGTTAGTCTTAATTTCCTATTTTGAGACTAATTAAAGATTAGAATTAATTATATTATTAATTTCTAAGTTCTGTAATGCCATAATTTTAGGATCACATCTCCTAAATTATGTGATTAAATATGTTATCATTATTTTATATCATTTCTCCTTTTTAGTATTAGGAAATTAGGGTCTTAATTTTAGGAAATAGTCTTCTTTATAAGCCTATATAAATTAGGCATGCTCCCTCTTGTAAAGAGAACAAAAGTTGAATGAAATTATTCATTTTAGAGTTTATAAATTTTATGAGCTTTAGTGCTTTGTGGTGGCATCTTATGTGAGAAAAATATAATTATTTAGTAGTAGTTAAACAGGCATAGTTCTAAAAGTAGATAGAAGATGATTAAGGATTTATTTATAGATTTCAGTTAATTCTTTGGTGATGGTTAAACAAGGCATTAGGGATGAACAAAGCATCTATCTACTGTGTCAAAGAACCAGTCAATGCCCAATACAAAGTTGTTTAGCTAGTGTTTGTTAACTTCCTTGATAATGTGAAAACTTTAATTTTATATTGTGCATTTTAAAGAGAGATGAGAATATTATCATCAACAAGGATCAACAAATTGGTCCTAGTGGAAGGGGTAGTAACTTACATATTGACTCTCAGATTGGAGGTTTGAGATCATGTGGATACAAAAAAATTCTTTTAAGAGTGTTCTTCATGTGTTCAATGAAGAACATATCGCTCATTATTGCTTTTATTTAAAACAACTTTTGGCAACTAAATATAAGACTTCAGAGAATGGATTGAACTATTACATTACCCACATGCATAAGAGTGAATCGAGGGGTTTGTTGGTGTGTTATCACTATTTGAAGTGCTAACTGTATTTATTAAATGTTTATTTCATTCTATTTATGAGTAAACATGATTATCAAAGCCAATGATATAACTAGTTGAAAAGTTTTTAGAACAGTGCTCTACATTATCTTATTATGGGATTCATGTTTGTTTTTTTTTTCGCTTTATTAAACATTTGCATCTCACTTGTAAAATCAGTCTCCATACAAATCATATAATTGCCTTCACTTTGCTGGATCAAGCTGCTAAACCAACTCAAGCACATGTTGATGTTCATGAGCTGATCATATACATGAATTCATGTTTGGGTCATGAGTCTGATTTAATTTTTGAAACTTTCTTTAATCTAGCTATACTTGATAAGTTGTTCAGGATTTGAATATGTGCAAATTTTGAAATGAAAATGCATAGGTTTGATATTTTCACAATGCCTAATACCTAGTTCAAATATTTTTATTTATAGATGATGATAAAGAGGAGGATTTAGATTTAGATTGATGAATATTCTAATTAATATAGTCTTTTAAATGTGTGATGCTTAATTTCTTGAAGATTATGGAAATATTGATTTGTTTTATTTTAAATTTTAGAATATTTTAACTAATTTATAATGTTTAATTTTATTTTTAATTTTTTTTTGGAAACAGGGCTTGTGGGCTTGCCCTTAAGCCCTTCGAATAAAGGTCAAGCCTCAAGAAATGGGAAAAAAATGAAAAACTGCGCTTATGGGCTCAAGGTCATTTAGGCTAGGCCCTTATCCCTTATAAGTCGAGCCTGCTCGTTTCCTAACTCTACTTAACCGCAATATCAACAAAAACCACAAGGGAAACAAAATATATCATAACTCACCATTTAATATTCTTACACCAATCAAAGGAAATCATAACCCATTATAAACATATTTGTGCCAGTATTTAGACCCCGTTTCACTTTAATAGCACATGTATAGCACTAGGGCATTAAATACAAACATCAAACAGAAATAATATGCATTGGTGCAAGTAAAACAAAAAATCATCATATTAAGTTGGCAATATCATTCACAAAATACACATATATAAAATAAATGGGAGGCTTATAATAAGAATAAATATTCTTAAGTCTCTGAAATTTTTTCCCTGTCATTACCAAAGTTAGTGCTTGTAAAATATTAAATAATAGGGAGTACTCAATATTCAAAGAAAACTCTAAATCATGTACATGCTAGTTAAATCAATTAAGGCATATAAAACACGCAATCCAACCCAAAGACATGTCACAATATCATATTACATGATATTACAAATGCATGATGATAGGGGTGATCCTTAGGAATCATTTTGCAACATAGTTTTAACTAGATCAATGTACCCCGGTTCTAGACCCACTTTTGAAGGATATTAGGACTTTACTTTATTCGTTTATTTCCCATCATGTTATAGTTTTCCAATAAGGTTTGTAATGTATACATAATTAGATAATTAGATAAGAGTTTTTACATTATTGTTTTAATAAAACAAACCCATAACTTTCTGTCAATTAACAGCCAACCTCTCGTCAAAGATGATTGTAAACAATTGACAACGACATATAATAAATTAAATGGTGAGAAAAGCACTCAATCCACACAAATATACTCACAAAATATGACCATCGATTTACTGCGAAACAAAAAGTATGCCATTATTTTAATCTTGTAGTAGAAACATGCGCGAGAAATTCCTCGTCACGTTCCAATTTAGCCATGTCCTCCTCTGAAAGGCTAATATAGACCTCAATGCCACCACCAGATTTGGTGTCTTTAAAAACAACAGAGTTCTTGAATTTCCACGTAGGTGGTCCTGCCCACGTCGGATTTCCCCATCCAAAATTAACCTCGTGTACTGGAAACCAACACAACGGAGTGAAAGCAAATGGTACAACTATCTTATCTTCTCTGCTGCTACTTCTCTGTTGAAGTTTCTTCCATTCATCAGCTTCTCGAAGCTTCACCATAAAATCCTGGTCTATTTTATTTAGCTCCTCTCTTAACTTCACTCCAAGGTTCTCTTCCAACGTTGGAAACGTTCGAATCATCCATAAATAGTTGCCGAACGCATATTCTGGCAATGGAGGTTCCATTCTTGGGCGTAGATTCACTGTCCATGCGACTAAGTGAACTTTTTTGCTTCCTTCTTCCACAGTGACTGCCACAAACCTTGTCCATATGAAAGTTGACAAGACTTCAATTCTTGAAGGCAGTTTTTGGCCTTCTGGAAAGTTCTTCATCTTGCTGGAATGTTTTGCTCTGAGAGATTCTATTACTGATGCTTCAAAAGCGAACCTTCTACATACGATTCTGTGAATGTGAAATTCTAGGCTGTACCCCAACATGTCTTTTGGCGGGAAGAGTGAGGAAGATTGGAAGTGGGTTCTGATCTGTTCCGATTCGCCATGTGCCACGGCAGCCCAGCTCTTGACGAACTAGAAAAACAACAACGCATCGGTGACCTTGTGGGAGATGCATATGCCGACTGCGATTCCACAACAATCGAAGATGTTGACTTGGACTCCGAGGACTGTGTCGATGGCTTCATCCATTTCGTAAGGAAGCAGTTTGCTGACGTAATCAGGAGCGGGGTCGTCGAGGATGTGGCTGAGGTGGCACCTCTGACAGATAAAAGAAATCTCATATTTAAAATTCAGAAGATATAACATAATTCATAAATATATAAACCTTGGGATATAGATAACAAAATACTAAAATTATTTGGTAAATTAACTATCATAAAAATATTTAATATAATATCCAGAGCCATTTGATTGGAGACAAAAAAATTGAGTAAAAAAAAGAATAAATGAAAGATAAAAAAGAAAAAACAATATATTAAAAAGAGAGAGAAGAAGAATAAAAATGAAAAAACTTAAGACATTCAAGACTCAAAAAATGTATAAGCCCAATTAAAAAAAATATAGAAAATGAAGAACAATGTAGTAGAAGAAATATTCAAGACAAAAGAAACCTCACATATAGGAATTAAAAGGTACATAATGTATATAAAACCAAGAATATATATCTATCCAAAAGCTTATGAAAAGCATAGTTAATAAAAAGAACTCAACCACACCTGACTCTGGTTTCTATATAAGGGACACCCTCGTCGTTGCAGTCAACGAAGCTCTGGTTGAAGAGTCTTCCAGCAAGTGGATAGAAATGGGATAAGACTTGAGATGATGATTTCTTGAGGCGGTCGGAAACGTCGGCGATGTTCAATAGGTTTGAAGTTTCAATGTCGAAGAAATAGACCCATGAATTGTTGACTTCCGGAGATAACTGATCGAGGAAGGAGAGATGATAGTGACGAAGATGTTGAGGTGTAGGAGACGAAGGCTTCACGATCTCCTTAGAGATTTTTTCAACTCCTATCTTCATTTTCTCAGTGCTTCTGGTATGCCCGGAACAAATATAATTCAATTATCACTGGTGTGTGTATATATTGCAGAGAAAAAGTACAAAAAAAAAAAGTGAAACGAAAAGTTTAGTAAAATTTAATCTAAATCATTGAAATCTAATGTAATTAATAATTCATGTTAGATTAGATATGTACCTTGGTCGATATGTATTTGATGTCGTCGTAGACAAGAGGTAATGAAAATTCTATAAACTAAGCTAACTCTTTTTGTTTTTTCTGTTTAACATTTTTGTTCGAAACAGACATTTTTATCCTCTTCTTACTGGCTTCTCTTAATTATCCGTCATCATTATTTTTTATTCACTAAATTTGTATCATATAAAGTACAGGTCATTTTTGTTGATACTCTCTGGGTGTAATGATAATCGATCTCAATCATCTTCTAGAGGCCTGCAGAGGGTGAGGTTGCGCGCAATTAATTGAAGTTAAAAGAAAATTTGTTGCCGGCTTGTTAGTATATCTACATGCTCCCTCCGGCCCAATTTATTCGATATTTTAGACAAAATCATATATACTAATAAATTACAGGTCATTAAATATACTTTGCATACCTATTTTTTCAAAACAAAAAATATAAACTTTTAAAAATATCATTTATTTAATAATTATATTGTGAAAGAATGTTAGAGGAGAAAATATATAGAAAGGATAAAATTAGAAATGAAAAATGATAATAAAATCCTCCCGAATTATGCAAATGACAATTTAGTATCTTAAAATATCATAATTTTACTAAAGTTTTTAGTAACTTTTGTGTCAATAAATTTTAAAATGAAAACATAATTTTACCCTTATTAGAAATAAGAAGCCCCTATCACAACTTTTATTTGTGAATTGTAAGAGTTGAATAAAAAATCATAACTTGTCAAGTGTAATTTTTGTTATTGAAAAATAAGACACAATCATAATTTTTGTTTAAGGAATAATAACTGTGGTTTTGTAAATCGTAAGAGTTGAAGAAGAAATTACAACTTGTCAAATATAATTTTTTATTATTGAAAAACAAGTACTTAAAATAACACACTTATTCACAACTTTTTTTAAAAAAATCGTAATAATTGAATAAAAAATCACAATTTATCAATAAGAGTAAAATTATCTTCTTAATTTAAAATTTATTAACACAAAAGTCTTTAGAGACTTTAGTGAACTTATGAAATTTCAAGAGACTAGATTATCATTTATATAATTTGAGAGAATTTTATTATTATTTTTTCAATTAAAAAAAGCATAATTAATAAAGCATTATTTTTATTAAAATATTTTATATTTTAGGACGTTCAATCTTTTATAAAAATCTCTAATGATCTAGCATGATGGAAGTATATATAGTTATGTCATCGAAATGGGATGACGTTCGGTCCCAAAACAGAAAATGTTGCTATTTCCCAAAAAAAAAAAAAAAATATGTTGCAGTAACAACTGAAGAGGTTAGTCAATGATAAATGCAAAATTTGGTCCATTGATGAATTTGGCAACAATCAATGAGCCATGTCTGTCTGTCTGGTGAGGTGCATTTAACATATGGAATGGCAATGAGTTTCTCCATATCCCTTTTGAGAGAACAGAGATTATTATATATTAATGCCTAAATGAATGATGTATATATACAAATATACACATAATATATAGTGTATTAGAAAGTGAAGTGAAAAAAAATAGTAGGCATAAAAATAAGGTTTAGGTCTCATGCGTCAGATATAGAAAGAGACCAACCAAAAAGAATAAGTGCCTAAAAGATTGGGTTGATGAATTAAATCAGAAATAAAAATCATTTAAAACTTTTAACAAACCTTCACCAGTCAGAACATCTGAATTTGCCCCTTACTTTCAACACCCATCGTTTCATTTTCTTCTTTCTTTTCAACTTCATGATGCTTTGATATGCCATAGACTAGTTCTTTTTCATTCTTTAACATAGATGATATATTTGTATTGTTTTGTTTGATATGCCATGCTGTCACATGACATTCATTGTAGAAACTAATTGCCCGATTTGTGCTTTTATATTCCTGAGAGATGAATCAACCTGTGCATTCACTACGATTGCAATCTAGCTATTTCATTTGCACCTCAATATTCTTGGGAGTTAAGTCTACTCTTGCATTAATTTTAGCTTACTCTTGATTACTCTTTGTTTAAGAACTCGTTAACTTGGCCAACATCTCTTCTAAATCAACTTAGGCTCTTGGATATGAATAGATTGTCTTTCCATTTGAGAGAAATCAGAAGGTGGAATCTGCTTTGCACTAGATGTTAGTGCCCGATTAAGTGTGTTGAACTATTTTTCCACGCAAGAAATTAGGCTTATTTTGCCACCCATCATTTCAAGTGTTTGGATAGCGATTGATTTTATCATTATCGTGATAATTTCTAGCATAGTTAGCATAGTTTTCTCTATTTTTTGAGAGATGAGACATTGTCCAAAAGCATGTGCCAGTTTAGGGTCAATGAAAGAATTAATATTTTTATCAGTTTGGGACTCATTTGCAAATTGGTATTATTTTATTTAATTATTTATTATTTATTTTTGATTGATTATCTTGAAATAAATATTTTACCGATTGTTTGGTGTTGAGATTGTTGTCATAACATAAAAAATTGAGCAGTTAATTGGTGTTATACACACGTGTTTAAGAGTTTGGTTAAGCTCATATTTTGTAAAATTGAGTTATTTTCAAGTTATTTTATATCTAGCATGTTAAACTTTTTTCTGCCGTAATAGGATGTTAGCTTTTGTTTTTGGACGTAAAATAGAGTTGTTTTTAGATATACCTTGTTTAGAATATATTAAGATAATAAATTTCTAACTTTGGTTTTCTTTTAATTAGTTTAATTTTTTTCTACCAAGATTAGTTTTTAAGTATTTGTTTATTAGGAGAAAATTTTTATAACCATGATAGCTCTTAAAATTATGTTCAATTCTTTTCTGTCATGGTCACCTTTTAAATACCTTTGAGAAAATTATTAGTTATATAATTTTTATACTATGGTAATTATTTTATGGGTTTGATTTTTATTACCATAGTGTTTGTCCAAGGTTTTTGGATTGTAAATTTTAAGTATTATACATGACCCCTCTCTGTTTTTCCTCAAGGGATGATCTAAGATGATGTTTGTTTTAATATATGTAGATGAGATCATCGTCACTAGAAACCCATTTAATATAATTTACTGGTCTTTGTTTCTCAAAAAGCTAAATTCATTGTTTGCTTTAAAAGATCTGAGCGATCTAAATTGTTATAGAGACATACAAGGACGATACAGGACTTTATTTAAGGCTGAAGAGATAGATCAACACAACTTCCTCCAATGATTTGGCATGGTAATAGTTCTCCAATTCCTATACACCCATATCGTAGCTAATCGTCACTAGTATTTTAAAGGAGGACTGCCTCTGAAAAATCCATAATTATATAGACAAGTTATTGGATCATTTGGATCTCTTAATAAATACTTGATAACCTAGACCAGATACCATTTTTGCAGGCAATAAACTCAGCAAATTTCTCAGTTCACCCACAGACATACATTGGCAAGCACTCAGCGAGTTTTGTGTCTTCTTGGGTGACTCTCAGGTTTCATGGTCAGCGAAGAAGCAAAAAGCAATTGATCGATCAAGTGCAAAGAGTTAGAATGCAAAGCATTGTTCGATCTCACTTTTGAACTTGCTTGGATGCAATATTTTGTTGGTGAAATTGGTCTTCATCTCAAGCAACCATCGATAGCTTGGTGCGATAACATGAGTGCTACCACTCTTGCCTCAAATCTTGTCCTTCATGCCAGATCAAAGCACAACAGTGATTAACATTTTTTTTTTTTTTACAAGAAACATTTTATGTTACAAAGGATTATTACGTTTAATCCATTTCAAACATGAAAGATGTAGACACCACAAAGATTGGTTGCCCATTGATCCACAGTAGAATAATGGAATTAAAATTGAGGGTTAATACAATGATTATTCCTTATAGTTTTATTGAGTTTTATTTTTGATCTCTCTAGTTTTTTTTTTTTTCCTAGTCCCTATAATTTTAGCCGTCAATAACGTTAGTCCCTCAACAGCATGACACCGTTAAATTAGCTGATTTGTATCTAACACCATAACTAATATGCTAATCTGTTTAAACGAGTGATTAGTTGGCAATATGATTCAGCAAGAGCAATGGGCTTCCTTTCCTTCGACTTCAGACATCACGGGCGACAGTAGTTGAGTTTCTAAATTCTTTATCTCCAAAAGATGTGAGAGCAATGGGCAACTATAGGGCTTCAGACTTGGTCTTCTCTGAATATCAATTTGTATCTACCCACTTTTGACCTCTTGTCTAAATATTAGTTTGTATCAGGAGGACCATGCTCGTGGCCGTGGCACTGGGCAATCTCGAGAATGAGGTTGATGAACCCACCTAAGAAGGTAGACCCCAGTAGTGTGCCAACCATCCGAACAAAGATCTCACAGCTAACGATAATGCATCCAAGATCCACAAATTCTATTTCTTTTTTTTTTTTTTTTTTATTAAGAACGGGGCGATAGCCCAAACAGAAACAAATCAAAAGATAATCTCTATTGGGCAAGAAATGCCCATTACATCCCTATGCAGACTAGATAAACTCTCAGGCGGATCCTCTAGCAGCTGGATGGACTTGGTCTGAAGAAAATTCCATTTCACTAGCCAATCAGCACATCAGTTTTCCTCTGAGTGTATACGAGCCACAAAACTCACCATACTTCATAAATTGACCAGCCATCTGCCTAAAATGAACACAGCTTTCTCCAGTTTGCAAAAATTCCTCCAGACCCTTGCCACATCCATAGAATTAGTTTCAAGAATCACTTTCTTCCCTTCAAAATGATGAATTGATGACATGCTCATCAATAAAGCCCACCACTCTGCATGCTCACTACTACATCTACCCAATTTGCGTGCAAATCTGCCTAACCATCTCCCTTCATGATCAC